CCTCGTCATTGCAAACTTAGTGCTGTGGAAAATAAATACAAAGTTGATAAATTCTACTCTTTGTGTGCAACCACATTTGCAGCGGGAGTGTTTAGTATGGTAGGTAGATAAATTCGTATTCGCCAGCATATCGTCATTTTAAAATGATAGTCAAGACTCTGAAATGTGTGCTGAACTAAGGAGGAAGTAGTGAAAAAAAACTCCTACCATTAAAGCGGGGGCAGTGTTCAGCGCATCCCCACTTAAAAAAACAAAACGTAGGAGAAAAAACTGCTTCTATAAAGATGGAGGTTGGTTGATAGGATTGTTGTAGTGCAATGAGACTGGACTGTAGATGAGAACGTATAAGGATTGGAAACGTTTCTTGTCGTTGGAGAAATCATAAAGCAGCACAGGCTGTCGTTTATCACCCTAACACCGCCCGACTGGCTTCATGATCAACCATTAGGGAAGTGAGACAGGAGGAGGTCATCGCGGATAACCGGGTCGAAAGAATAAGGAAACGGTAGAGGTCACGTGGTCATCACCGAAACGCCGGAGATGTGACCTTGTTGACTGCAGAGTTCAGCGACGAACTGACAAAAAAAGCGGAACCGCCAAAAGCATGATTAGAGACCGTGAAGTCCATCGACAGGGTTGTACAACAGAGACCGGCAATAATCATTGGAAAGAGTAGAAGACGAAACACCGCTGCAAATATCACTCTATAGAGGATAAAGTAGACATACGGAAAACAATTTAATATTAATAGAACCACCTCAAATACCAGGGGGACCCTTTTCAAAGTCCAAAAGTTGTATTTGGGAAGGAGACAGATAACAAGGACTTTATATCTTCCAAAGTTAAGTGTTTACGTAATTTATTTATTTATAATGGTAGCATCGTCAAGATTTGCACTGTAGTCTTTTACATAAAGGGCAACAGAAGCGGACCTAAGACGGAAACCAGCAAAAAATCACTTTCTACTGGTACCCTTTCGAATTCAGCAGTACCAGCAGTTACTTTTTGCAGTTCACACGAAGTTAACTTGGATACCACAGTACCAAATGTTGTGTAAGAACCGCTGATGAGGTATGCTGTCAAACGCCTTCTTGCATTCCAAGATAATGACATCAGTCAGATTGCCCCAGTTTATGTTTTTTTTTCACTTTTTTCTGCTAGTAAAAATCACTCGTAACATATGAACAAAAATGAATAAATAGTAACGATCCATCATGGGACCGCCAAAGTGCGTGGTTCGCAAGTGTCGGGATTGGTGGTTATAGGGGATAGAGTGGCTGGGGCACACTAAGAAAAATATAGGTGCGCAATAACTATGAAATATAAGAGAAATTCAAGCCACCGCTGAAATTCGTTTAACTGCATTAAAACGTGGCTGAAAAGATTGTTTAACTTGACAAAAAGTGCTGAATGTTAAGTCGACTAACCAACTAAAGGACGAGGCCCTCCGGCCCAAAATTAAAAATATATATTTATAAACTGCTAGCACAAAACCTATTGGTTAAGGTTTTTAAGAAAATGAATTAATAATGACAAAGTTAAAAAAAACTGAGCCACCCGGAGGGATCCATTCAGGTACCTCCGAGAACGAAGTAACCGCTATAAGCATAAAGTCATAACCCACATAATGGCAAGTTAAGTAAGTCGTAAAACGCACACGGAAAGCTATGAAATGAATAGGTGAGTTCCCCTTTTGTTATTGAAACCAAGCAAGCACAAATAGCTAAATATATAGTAAACCGCATGAAATTTTATGGAAGTGATTAATGGGATCTCAGTGAAAAGCTGCAGTTAGTCGATAATAAAAGAGAGCGCCTGAAAAAAATGAGAAGGAAGTCTGTCAATTAGGAGGAATGCAGAGAATCAAAACATCTGTATTTTCAATTGCGGCCCAAAGGGCTCTGCCTTGAGAAGCAGCCAAATGAACAGTCAAATTCCCTGTGGCTGCAAATCGCAGCAGAACACAATAGTAAATGTATATATCAGCGCCCACAGCCCCATGTCATGCACGCTGCTTGGACGTCAAAGAACGTAAGGTAACGGTCGTGATATTAAACCCTCCTCTGTAGGACAGGACTGTCTTAGTTTAAGAAAAAGTATGTTAATACAGCAATAACAAGGCATTTTTTTTGGTCGACGTCAGCTTCTAAGGCACATTTTGCAGCAGCTTAAGTATTGCCGTAGGAGGCACCTGCACGTCTGTCTACCTCAACCCTAGCAAAAGATTCCAGTGGTCCCGGGAGTTGGCACAGACTACGCCCTATGAAAAATGGCTGCA